CCGAAAGGTGTTGTGATCGCCTTGGTCCTCCAACCCCCTCCCGTTGAGTCGTACTTTTCTACTATGACCTCCCTCCATAGAGCATGCTCTTCTACCCCGAATCTCCACAACCACTTTCCCATTAAAGCTCTGTTAAATTTCCTAAGATCTTTCACTCCAAGTCCACCCCACTTCTTTGGGGAAGTGACTGTCTGCCAATTCACTAGATGAAACTTTCTAGTTCCATCCGCCGCATCCCACAGAAAGTTCCTTTGAAGTCGCTCCAGTTTTTCTGTTAATTCCATGTTTCCCAAAATGGAACAACAACAACCCAGTATAATCCCACTAGTGGGGTCTGGGGAGGGTAGTGTGTACGCAGACCTTACCCCTACCCTAGGGTAGAGAGACTGTTTCCGGTAGACCCTCGGCTCCCTCCCTCCAAGAACTCCCCACCTTGCTCTTGGGGTGACTCGAACTCACAACCTCTTGGTTGGAAGTGGAGGGTGCTCACCACCCACTAGAGCAACCCACTCTTGTCTAAAACGAGCTTCTCATAGAACCGGTAAGGCAGTAACTCTGAAGAGAAATATAAAACTTAATGTTTCATATATGAGTATTTTAGCAAAAACAGAAACTGTTACAATTGAATATTGGAAGAAGGAATGGAACATTGACCCTTTTGACAAACCTTTTTTGGACATCCCTTTTTTCTTTGGCTGAGTCCATAATTTTGGGATAGGACTCTACACCAGCAAATTCCTGGGCCAGCAACTGGAGCTTTGATTCCAGAAATCTCCTTCTTGCTGCAAGCAGTAGGGGGAGATCTATAAAAGCCCTCTACACAAACAATTATCACCTCAAAGATTAATGGGAAACAAAGGAACTCAAGCTAAGATACTTTATTGAAGAGATTAATTAACTTGCAGAAAAGGAATAAAGAAGGGGAAGAAGAGGCCTCAATACTGCTAATTTGCTTTGTCAACCACCCCTTGCATCCAGCTGTATATTGGTTAAATTAATTATCTTTGAAGGACTTAACAAGTAACAATCAGAATTTCTAACTCTGGTAGACTTTAAATATGATTCAAAATACAGATTGTGAGTAAATGACTGCTATTGTTTTGATAAGTCAGGAGTGAAATGACTGCTATTCTGAAGTAGTTCTTTAGAAAGAATCTCTCAAACTGTGTCAATAAATATTCACCATATTAACCCATTCAAATAGAATCTTATAAGAAACTTTATTAAGTTGCGAAAAGGAAATTTTCCTAAGAAGCTTTTGAACAATCACTAAGAGAAGACACTATTCCATAAATTAGATTAAAGAAGCTCAGATATGAGCCTTACAGTCCATGTCCTTGTGATATTTGGACAAGTTATGCTTAACTTCTTCTATTTTCATCTGCGACATATTGACCTCCTTCTCGGCTTCGCGGGCTTTGGCACTCAAGTCATCAAACTCTCTCTGGAGCGCCCTGTGCTAGGAAGGTACAGCTTAAAAGAATATCAAAGAGAAACATAAAGATGCACAAACAATGAAGAATAAAGATTCACTGATCACTGTAATGTGAAAAGACTTCTACCTACCTCCAACCAAGAGAGAGAAGTGATGTTAGGGGATGGGGTTTACTATATCCACAGAGAAAAAAAAAAGATTCACAGGTATTGTAAACCAAGCAGGGCCATTTTATTAGTAGGATAAAGAATTGAGACCAAGCAGGGCCATCTTATTAGTAGGATAAACCATATCTGCTTTATTTTCTTGAACTACAGAGTTCTTGACCAAAATTTAAGTATTTTGAAGAGTAGCTGAGCAAATAAACTACTATAACTTAGACATAAGCAATCAAAAAGGATGTCAGACAAACTAAGTAACTAAAAGCTACGACATCTGAGGAATAAATAAAGTGTTACTAAAAACAGAATAAACAGATTCAATATTAGACATAGAGGTGTACCCATGATTGTAATTGTGCCGGTGCAAAGCACCTTCCATCCAGAAGACAATTAAAATTGGTGTTTAATCTGATCTCTGTGTCATTATAAAGTGATTTCATATAAGAACAATTTTAATCTCCTCATGACGAGACTCCTAACAATCTCCGTCTTTTCTTTTAATAAGTAATCATTATTCACAGATATAATTGCACCCCAAGAAGGTGTTACAATGTTTATAAAAACTTTATAGTTTAAGCTCTAAGGAGTTCATGAGAGTTCAAGGATCTTTAACAAGTTAGATGTTGTTTGCACCAAAAGAAGAGTATACAGACTTTTTCTCTCAAGGTTATTAGATATTTACTTCTCTTTCAAAATATCTTGAACTCTAGCCATAATGTCTATCCGATGCAAAGAGGAATAGCATTCTAATATTTCCTTATCTTTTTATGCACTGACTGTCCTCCCACATCCTGAAGCACTCTCCCGAACAGTTAGGCATATTCCACTGGAGTCCAGAGAGATTGAAGAACGTGCTCCATAGATCAGTAGCCAGCTTTCAGTGAGGGAGCAGGTGACTGATTGTCTATTCTTTCTTTTCACACATAAAGCATCTCTTACACTGTTGTATGCACACCTTCATAACCTGGAGTAACACTACTCCTAAGGATGTTACTGGCACCTCATTTGCCTCACAAAGAGTTAGCTCAATATCTGGCTAAGGTCATGTGAGATATGCAGGTTTGAGGAATCCTTACGTTTCCAAAAGAGTTCAATCATTCCAGCTCAAAGCCTTCTTGATCATCATGCTGAAGCTTTTCATTACGAACAGGAGAAGCAGAGGAGATATCAGAACTCTCCCTCCCCCTCTCTCCCCCCACCCCCAAGTCCCTCTGGTGAAACCATTTTGGTCCTCAGACACCAAGCTGTCTATGCCAATTGGCTACACAACGCTTGCCTTCCATGTGACTTCTAAGCATCTCATGCTCCTCCTAGGATGACTTGAACATAAGCAGTATAGTTGTCCACTCTGATCCTTGTCCTAGTTGTTTCAGCTGTTTGACTACCAGACACATATGCATCCTAAGACATCACCTTCTCAGTAATATATAGGGTACAATTAGGGTTCTAGGATTTTAAGTTTTTCCAAAGGAAATATTGAAACTGAGAAAAGAACAGATTATAAAGCCTATGCGACTAAAGTAGGGTATACATATGTCCAGTTGATCAACAATAAAGTACTGACATTTGCATGCATGCACTTTAGCTTTCAAACGGGATCTAATTAGTGCACAATTTAAACAACAAAGGAGAAACATCAAATAATGCACTTTTTGCCCCACAACTGTGGAGTACATTTTCATGTCTGTGTTTTGCTTCGTATCTAACAATAACAGCAGTCACACCTTTGTTTAAAAGCTAAGAATGGTGGTGATCGAACCTCAAGAAAAAAAATCAAAGATTAAATATATTAAGAGTATGCAAGAGATAGGGAAAAAGAACCTTTGTGCCTGAGTAATTTCTTTCTTCAAGTCCTTGTCAGATGGAAGCCTTCCTTTCAATACTCCTTTTACCGTATCCTTGTTATCATCCATTCTGTTAGTTTATTGAAAAAAAGAATTATCACTTATGAATAAAAGAGCATAGCCATAACAAACAAAATAAAAATGTGGCGCAACACTATGAATAGGAAAAGTGACTTACATCTTTTTTCTGTTTCTACTTTAGCCCTAATAAACACACTAATTGTGGATGAAACACTATGAAGTGAAAAGTTACTTACAGCTTTTTATGTTTCTTCTTGAGAGTTTCCAGCTCTGCCTTCTTAAGAGAGAGCTTAATTCTATCCTCAGACTCATTGGCCATACGATCTTTTTCAGCATGAAGATCTTTAAGTTTTTGGTCTATGGTGAACATCTCAGTCTGCTTTTGCCTTATGTTTGAGTCAAATTCTCTTTCTGCAAGCTGCTTAGACTTTCTCTCGCATTCAATTTGCTGAAAGAACAAAGATGTGTTACCCACATAACCAAATGTTCATCAAAAAGAGTTGAAATATTAAGCAGAGACATCAAACCATTTTCTTCTCTCTCTCATCAAGATGAGCCATATTAACATTAGAAATCTCACGTTCAAACTCATTACGCTCATTCTCCTTCTCTTCAATACGCTTCAAAATGCCATTCTGCAGAGACGGAACCAAAAAAAAAGTGTAAAAATGCCGCATCATTAACATACCAACCAATGTTACCCATAAGAATAAACCTTAATATCTGCTCTAGCCAGTTTTTGCGCCTCCTTTTCATTCCAGAGGTTATTTGCAATTTCGTATTGATTCCACGCAGCTGCAATTTCTGCCTCATTTGATTCCTACAACAACATTACTCCAAGCGAAAGTTAGCTTCTTCATATGAAAGTTTAGACGAAGCAAAGTATGAGCGAGCATGACAGATGTCAGGTATTGCTATTCTATGTTTCAGAGAAAGTAATTACAAAGTTGAGAGCATGAAGCACCTAATTTTTACAGTTAAACGCTGATATCTATGTCTCGCGATATCCATTTTATCAGATACATAAAGTAGTCTCATTGAAGGGAACATTTTTAGAGCCAAGTATAATTCGACACTCAAGAGAATCTGCGGCAGCAGATATAGAGAAGTCAACTAGACTAAGTAGCTGGACATGGCATAGGGATCCAACAATCCAGCTGGTATCCCATTGCGGATCTAGCGGTCCAAATTAAAGTGGGTTTTCCAAAATACATGCTGCTGTTTGAGACAGAAAAACAGAAGTTGACTGGTAATCACAAACCTAAGAACATTGAGAGTAAGGGTCTCATGACTCTTACCCAAGAAAAGAATCAGAATTGACAAAATGAGAAGCGAGAGAAGAGAAAAACTGTTTGTCCTGATGGTCAAACTTAATATAAAAGAGCTCCAGCTCCTTGTACAGGAGTTTACTACTTTAATAAGGTATATTAACTTATCTACAAGGATCCTGTTTAATATGAGAATTTTAGATATATGACACACATAGGTATAATGAATCTGGACATAATCTCGACGAGCAAATAGGTTAAAGACTCAAGTTTTTCACGTAGATGCTCGATTCTCATAACTAACAGTTCCTCGGTAAACTAGTATGCTAACTGGCTATCTGAACAAACAAAGCAAGGGAAGACAAGTTCAGAATGGATTTTCTCATGAATGAAGTGACAATCAATCTTGACATGTTTGGCCCTTTCCTGGAATACAGGGTTGGACGCAAGATAAATCTAATAATAGACCCAACGATGACTGTTTTAAGTTTAAAGCGAAAAATTAATGACAAACAAGATAAATTCAATAAATACTTCCAAACCTGAACATCATATTAAGGAAGACTTGATACTCACACAGCAGCAAGACTTACACACTTAAAGACACAAGTATATGCCATTGGATAGAAACATGAATAACAGAAATGAAACAAAAGAGAAGGGCATTAAGCCTCGGAACATAGCTGAATCAAAGTAAAATAAATCTTAAACTGACAAGTTAAAACAACATAGCATGTCTAAATATATGTATATATAGTCTGGTACAGTGAAAGAACCACCTTTTTATCTTGTAAATCCTTATCAAGATGTGCTAATCGTAGTTTTATACGATTCATTAAATTCAATGCGACATCATCACTGAGCGGCCCACTTGGAACAGCACCTAAGTTATGTCTGTCAAAAAGCTTCCTGATAGTGACGTCTCTTTCATTCTTTAACACCGCAAGAGCCTAAGGCACAAAAATTTAAAAGAAAGGTAAGCAAGACGCGGGAGAACTTTAAGAAATCAACCAGCACATAGGCCGAGGGAAATTACTTCAGCCTCAGCTTGAAGCTTGCTGATCTCCACGATATAGTCTGTTATGGACTGCTTAAGAAGGGAACTCTTTGTCTCTGAGTCATTCATTTCCCTCTCCAATTTGCTAATTTTCGATTCCAGAAGCGCTATCCTTTCATCAAACTTTGTTTTCCATTCACTCAGCTCTTCATCAGTGTCTAGCAATTCAAAAGTGAAAATATTTGAAAATATCAATTTTTACAAAAAGTACTTCAGTGGGCAAACATGCACACATACACAAAATAAGAATTTACTCCAGGATATTAACAACATGAATGATGTTCAGCTTGATGTTTAAATGTCTAATATGATTTGTGCATCGCTTCTGTGCCGAAAGAATAAATATATATCAGTATATTCCTTTCAGTAAACCTTCATTCTCCTCTGTAAGTGCAGCATACTGTTTTTCCTGTTCCTTGAACAATGTTTTCCTTTCAGCAGTTTTGGTGGCTATCTCTCGCTGCAATTGATGAAGGTCCTTTAAAGTTGCTTCAGCATGGTGGATCTTACTCTCTAGAGTCTGAATCTCTTTTTCAAGCTCCTCCATCTGACTTTTCAGTGACTCTGTTTTCTCTTTATCTTGGGCGATGCTTTCCCGCAACTAGATTAAAAGACAAGATCAAATTACTATCGTTTTAAAATGTAGCATTCGTTTAACTAGTGCAGTCCTCAACTAAAGTCAAAAACAGTATTGATATCAGAATTACAGGTTCACATTGCTCTATGGTTAGAAAACAACTATGATCAAAACACCATGGTATTAATATCTGGAAGATCACAGAAAATATAAATGTGTATGTACATTTCGAAGCCACAACAAAACTCAAAACCAAGATTAAGCATTAAAGAAAACTTCAGTCAAAAGCTTTTACGCTGGCTCTCTACAATCCTTCTTGTTTCTAGTTTACACATACAGGAACAACGATCCCTTGGGGTAATAAGGAGAAGAATCCATCTGCTCACAGCAGAGTAAGAGGAGGAGCAGGGAACAGGCCCACTTGCCACGAGCTGAAAGACAGAAGCAAAGTTTTGACATAACAAGCAGATCATTCACAAAAAAAACTGACATAACAGGCAGAGGTATTCCTGTTCATTAGAAATCTTTTTATGGAGTGGACGGCAGTACCAATATATGACAGCGCAGTCATGAAGATGGTGGTGCTTATTAACAGGCCTTCAACAAAAGATCTGCCAAATGGCATTTCCAGAAGTGGGGACTGATCTCGATTACTTATCAACCATGCTCAAATATCCACAATGAATGCCTCTTGGTTTTTAGGATAGGAAATTTCTCTTGAAATTCTTCTTGGTAGGAAATTTATTTATTTTTAATGACAAAGTGGGTGAATTTCTCTTTGTTTTGCTAAATTATCGCGCCTAAAATTCAATTATAGTTCCTCCATTTTCAAGCAACAGGATCTAACATCATAAATTAATGAGTAATATGTAACATCAACTGATCAACAAGCATAAGTTTTATCAACTCTATTGAACTAGGAACAAGGAAAAAACTGATTTAAGTGATAGCTTCTAGAAGTTTGGACTTTGGACAACTGCCTGAGTGAATAAAAAGGAGAAGAGAGGAAAAAAACACATTTTTCAATAGAGGTCACTTCAGAACCTTGTAAGCAGCATCTTTCAATGTCTGAAGATTCTCCAGTTTCAACTTATATGTCTTTATTTCTTGAGCTTGATCCTTGTGAAGCTTTTTAATAACTTCCAACGCCTTTGTGTACCTAAACAGTAAAAATAAAGTACAATTTAACTTACAGAAGGAAAAATGTAAGTGTGCCCATTAGCTCGATATCTCAAGGACTAAACAACTCTGAACATTGAGTAATCAACTTTTTAGCATTTGGATAGAAACCAAACAAATATACACCAAGCAAGAAAAATTGAAAAAAAAAATGCAAGAAAAATTTTGTCCCTACTCCCTTGTAACAGAAAACCCATATTCCCTATGTAAAGCCAGCTAAACCACTGCACATCAGAAATTGCCATTGCATGGAAATCACCTACCTATTTACACCATAATCCTAATCAAAAGACCCCTAACACACAGAGAGATGCAGTTATATCTTGACAGACTTAAGCATCACAATCAGACAGCATCTCAACTCTCAAGAAACAACGACATTTTGGGCAGATGCTCAACGACTTATGTGTTTAAAGATAAAATGGGTTGTTCCACTATAGGATGATGAACTAAGCTTTGAAGAAAGACGCGTTTAATTTTTTATTAAAAATAACCATAAAAGCAAAATGTTTCCGAGATAATCATTCTACGTACTCATTAAGCACCAAACTTAGTGAAAAGCTTACTCCAGATGTCATGATTCTGGTATCAAGCTCAAAATCTCATACTAATTTCAAATCCTGACGATGATGCTCAATAAGTGGTTAACAAATACCCTTCTTTTGTAGAGACCAAGCTAGTAAGTTTTGACAGCACTGAGACATGCACGGGTCCAGGTAAACCCACTAAACCTTAGATATTCTAACTTGAGAACTGTGGACCAAGAATGCAGCTTAAATAGTGTCAAATTCAGGAATCCAAAAGAATCCTACCCAGAGAATTCTAAGCATTGGTATCTCCAGCAACTTGCGGAAATTCATACAGATGAACTTGGATTAGATTCAAACAGCATTAAACGGGGGAAGACTGACGATTCTATTCCAGATTTCGTGCATCTTTTGCGTAAAGAGAGCGTACTAACTGGTGGATATGTGATTCTTGCCCCCTTGATACCTTTCCCCGGTTAAAAGTTTATGATGATCATAACAACATGGAGTAAATGCAAAAAAAAGAACGTTAGAAGGCAGAGGCAGGGCCGCAGGGACTAGTCTTCTTTTCAATGTTCTTGACCGAGTAAAATGATGATAGGCTATAATTTCATGCATATTCAAGAAAGAATATAACTATACCGGATGATACAGAAGAATACATCTTTCCAACACAAACTCTATTGATAATGAATGAAATATCCATTATTGAAAACATGAATTACCTAGTAGCGGAGAAAATATCATCAAACTTCTTTTTCAGTGTAGAAGGATCTTGCAATGGCCAGTTTGCCTCATCTTGGTGAACAAAAATCACATTTTCAAGAATGGCCTTTGAGACACCCATGAGAGCAGGGATTTCTCGGTCCATATCGGCACATCTATAGCTTAGGCAAACTTTCTGCAAGTAAATAAGCTAAGAATTCAGGAAAGAAACTTTTTCCCTGCCAAACCATTAGTTCTTACTGCTTGAATAGAAGTCTAAGCCTCTCCTATCACCCTAAGCAAATCTAAGAGTTTTTTTTTTATCAGTAAGCAAAATCCTAAGAGCTATAGTTGGATATGATGCAGTATGCTTCAAACAGGAAATGACAAACAATATCACAGGACAAATATAAGAGGAGAGGGAAACAAAGGAGAAAATTTAATCTGGCTCACAAATAGTCTTTTTTCATAGATTGTACAAAAATACAAATTACAATTGCCCCTGTGAGAACGAAAAAGGAAAAGAAAAGGATGGTGTACCAATGCCAAGAAATAAAGATATGCTTGAGAGCTCTATGACTCATTACAACTCCTCCCTGTGTGCAAAATTACCCTCACTTCAACCCCAATGTTGACAGGCTCAAGTCCTTCCTTCAACGAATTAAACTGATGAAAAACTTTATAAGATTGTCATCAATTTCACGTACAAATTTAATAGAGCCAACCCTTTGATCAATATTTTATTTATTAGTTATTTTTAGAACATTATCGCTAGCAAATCATGCATTCGATTGTCTTTATTTATCCTCATCACATGTATATATGTGTACCTCAACATTCTTATTTGATCTATATGAACACAAAGATAACTATCATTGCCCTTGAAGGTCAAATTTACGTATTCACCAGCCATATAACCTTGGCTAACTCTACTATCCTGTTAGTTCATCTCCAAATCAGAGAAAATATCAAAATCAAGAATCCATGGACAAAAAAAAATTGACCAAAAAAAGCGTCATATAAATTAGTGATACCTCTCCAGTGTGAGGATTGATAGTCTGTAGTACACTCTCAATGGCCTTGTACTCCATCTTTGTTGCCTTTTGAGTTAGCTGAAAAGACCTAATGCACACCACATCTTTCCCTGCTGCTGTCTTGAACCGCAGCTTTATCTGCCCCTTTGTCTCTGTCTCTCCAGCCACCTTCACCACCACAGGATTCAGGTATTAATAACAACTTTAAATAACATAAACATAAGATAACTAAAACAAACTATCCGGTTCATATCAGCTATGGGATCATTGACTGGTTTTTTGGATAAACTGCTACTTTAAACATGATTTTAAACTTTTGGTTGACTAGTGATATTGGAACTCGGTCGTTAAAAATTTTATGTACTCCTTCTCAAGTAAGTCAAAGGAGATGAGCACCTTAGGGTCATGGATGAAGCTATGACCGGAGCGAGCATTTGGTGGCATCTCACCAGTGCAGGCAACCTTCAAGCACTCAATTATAGTCTGCTCACAGCAAGAAAAAATAATTATAAAAGAAACGAATATACAAATTACTCTGCCCACGGAAAACATTTTTTTTTATCAGATGATGGTCATCTTCAACTACTCAACTGGAGTCTACCCAGAGATATCCAAGTTGAAAATCATAGAAAAGTTCTGATAAATGCAAAGGACAATTAAGTTGTGGACTTTAGCGAAGTAAGGCGCTAATGAAGAAAAACTTAAAATATATACTCAATGCATGAATAAGTAATTACAAGAGCAAACAACAACTAGTTGAACAAAGAATTGAAAACTTTCTTTCTGATTCGAAAAATTGAAATATTATAATTAAACCAAATTATAAAGTAGAAAACATGCTTAAATTTTTTAATGATCACATTTTCTTACCTAAATATAATTTCTTATAGCTAATCACTAAAAAATTCACCAATAAAGATTAGTTAACAATTGATACATATTTTCCAAATATAGCTTGCACTAAAGCGCCTAATCGAGACGAAGTGCCCAACCTGATCTTCACCTAGCTTCAAGCAAAACCTTTAATTTGTATTTCATCTATAAATAACTTTGATTTTAGCTATATAGACGAGCCAAATAATATTAGTACAAATAATACAACTAATCCAATACTGATGGGGTAAGGCACAATTAATCCTTGCAAATGACAAACTTTGATGTTACAAGAAATAAGATAGTATTCCTTATTCCATAAATAACTAATATGAACACATTGCCTCGCATTAACAAGGAAAGAAACCGATCGACAACTGAACACAAAAGAAATGGAAAACGTAAAAGAAATAACAACTCATATATAGCACTGCCTCTTCCCTAGACCATGAATGCAAACAAGGCACCAAACAGAACTGAAAATCCAACAACCACTTTGCTCATGGTGCCAAAAACTTCAGAGGCTGAAACTAATTGCATTCACTAACCGAAACGTGTATAAAATGCATATAATACACATATATACAAAAATATATACATTTTGTAGGCTATATTTTTGGAAGCACCTAAAAATATACATTCCTATAAAACTTTTTTACACCACAGGTGCATAGAACTTAACTTACACTAAAATAAAATCAAAAATAGAATTAAAAAAGAAAATACAGGAATGGAGTTGAGCAACAAAATCATGCAACGATTAAAACCTAATGAACAAATATTTTATGCAGAAATTACACTGACATGAAAAAAAAATACCAATTCAAGTACGTAAATAGAGTGAGTTAAGAATAGCGATTTACGGTTTTTCCAGCGCCATTAGGGCCGACGATGAGCGTTAATGGCCTGAAAAAAGTGATGACGTTTTTGTTCTCGGGGTCAAAGCTCCGTATGCCTTTTATAAGCATTTTATCTACAGTGCTCATCTTTGTTTACTTCTGCAGCTGCGATTGCAGCCGGAGTTTCGTGTAGTACAGTTTTTATAGTAGAGATTTTGCTATGCCGAGAAGTTGAAATGAAAATTTTGTTGTTGAAAAAGGGAAAAGGAAATTTTTGGTCAGTTGGGGACTTGGGGTTTTAATAAAGAGGGAAAAGGGAGGGAGAGAAAGGGTTTAGCGGGCGTTTGGACATAATTGTAAAATTCCAAAATAGGGCGAAAAAAAAAAAAAAAAAAAAAAAAAAAAAAAAAAAAA